TTTGGTTCTCGCTGGGAATACTACCAAGATTTTACCTCCCTGCAGGATTCTCACTGGGATCCTGGAGGAGATTTTTTTTCTTGGTGGGATCCCAGCAAGTACAGATTTCTCGGCAAGATTCTTGCTGAGATGTACGAGGGGAATTTTTCCCGGGAAGGATCCCGCCAGGAAAACAGGCTACCTTGGTGGGATCCCAGCGAGTGCCAGGAATCTTGGAATACATTAAGAGAGGGAAAACTTCATTTTAGTCCAGCATAATTAGGAGCATAACACCTCCCATGGAGCATAATTTTCAGCATGGGCATCTCATAAACTAAGACCTAAAGCCCCCTCCAAAAAAACTAGGACCCAAGACCCCCTCCAAATCTCCAAAACTAAAACCTAAGACCCTCTCAGAATCTCAAAAACTAACAGACCTAAGACTTCCTCGGCATCTCAAAAACAGAAGACCTCGGGAAAAAGACCTAAGACCCAAGAACAGGCTTTGTTGTATTACACCATAGTCAATAGAGGGGAATGGTTATGAAACCTGACAAAGTTCGTTGTTATATGTTTTTGTTCGTGTTTTTGGCCTTGAACGTGCACAAAACACAATAGTTGTTTACTCAGTACTGAGGAACTAACCAATAGAAACATGTTGGTTATGTAATTCATGTATAGCATACGAGCGCAAAACAAAAGATTTTGCACACCGGTGGACCTTCCAACATAAATCTTGGCATCTTAACTTTGTTTGCTCCTTTGATGTTTGCCAGACTTCATAACCAGTCCTCTCTATTGGGCCTGCTAAATCTGCGAGCCACGGTGCGAGCCATGCGAGTCATGCGAGTCATGCAAGTCATGCGAGCCATTTTTGCGAGTATTTTTTTTTCAATTGGTATGGGAGGTCATCGACTTTTCACCAAGAAACATAGATCTCGCGCCCGACTATCACTAAGCTATCGCTATAGACCGCCCGCCCGCCATCTTGAAAGCGGAGATGACCCTGGGGACGACTACAACCTCGCTCCCAGGGTACTCTCTCTTTCCCTGGGAAATTAATTTTAAATTTAGCTTCAAAAATGCCTACAATTGTAATATTCCCAAAAGAAAATCCTAATCTCGCTTCGGTTACCAGAACTATTGCTGGTGCGGCAAATATGAAAAATGCTCTAAACATCTGTGCATCGTGCCAAGTCTTGCGTCATAGTAATGGCTGCCCTGAGTGTGATGAATTTTTTTCTTTGTTTCACATTTTTGTTGTTTGGAGAAAATTTTGTCTATTCAAATCGCCCAGGATCTGCAAGAAATAAAAACAATGCATCAAAAATTGATTAAGGTTCAAGACTAAAGTAAAGAAAATTTTCTGAGAGAAACGTACGGCTCGACCGCCCCACCGCTACTCGAATGGGTAGGTGAATGGTATCCATGGCACCTGTCATTCATTGATATCCACGTTGAAAATCATTCAAGAAAAAAGAGAACAGTACTTCAGGGCAACTCCATGTATTGGCGTCAAGAATGGTGAGTGAATGGCGTAATTTTAACAGGTTCGCTCTTCAGGGAATCAGAGTTATCAAAACTTTGTCGGTTGGCTGACTGCTGCATGTGGTTGTCTCTTCCCTTAGAATTTAAAATTGCAAGAATTTGATATTGCGATCTTATTCATTTTGTTCCGTTGCTCTTGTTCTTGTTCTCATGTGAATATAAATGTAACAAATAAACAATCTTAACATTTGTTCTAGGGCTCGCATGACTCGCATGACTCGCATGGCTCGCATGGCTCGCACTGGCTCGCCTTTTGGCTCGCATGGCTCGCTGGCTCGCAGGTTTATAAAACTCCTCTCTATTAACTATGATTACACCTACTGCCTTTTAAAAACATATTGCAACAGAGAGCTCATAGTTAAGTGTAATATTTTGACTCTACCTGTAGGCAACTTTATTTAAGTATTTTAGGTGTTGTTTTCAATGAGCCCCCACAGTAGCCATTTCTCTGAGAAACTGGCCTAGGTTCTCTTTTTAGGATTACCTTTGTCTATTGTTGCTGCAAGTGCTACCAATGGATACAGTGATCAAAACCAAAGCACTGGAGAACCAGTGGAGAGAGTAAGAGAAATGTTAGAGGAGATGGGATTCACACCATGGGCTCGTTTGAATCTTCACATGAAAGAAGCATTGAACGCCTTTTTAGAATGTTTGAGCCATACATATCATTTAGCAGTAACATTATTACAGCAAGGTAGTTTAAGAATAACTGTTCAATTCCAAACTTTGAACAACCTCGAACTGTTGTGGAGTGATTACCAATCACGTATCCTTGATGAAAAAGCTGAGAAATATCTGGTGACAGACGACATTAAGAATAAACTTAATGTGAAGGCCGTAGCATTGAAAACAGAGATTCTTGAACAGGATTACTTGGCTTGCAAGCATTCTCTTGAGGCCATCTCAGGTGAGTGTTAATGATTATAAGGTTGTCTATATGCAACTATGACACAGATGTTACATGTAATTTTACATGTAGCTTAAAGGAGTGAGAGAAAATTCAAGATTGAATGGCAAAATGATGATTTTCTGACAAATTTATTCTCACAGCTAGCTCACAAATGTCACTCAACTTTTCTTTCACTTTGTTCCTCATTCATATAAAAGCATGCGAGACATCTGAAAAAAGTCTATTAAGTACTATTACAACAACGTCTGTCTAAAAGATAAAAGAGGAAATCCCTGGTTTCTACAGTTCCACATAATTCCATACTTGACACTTCTCTATGTGAGGAAGTGTGGAATGCTGTGACAAATTAAACTAGGGATTTTCGAGACCTTTCCCTGTCCTTTCGACTTTTGTCAGTCTTCAATTAGTTCCAGGGCTTGAAACGATTTGAATTCTAGCTTGCCCTTCATACAAGCAGCTCTCAAATTGCCCTCTATTTAGTTGATAGACAACTTGCCTGGGCCCATCGGACTAGTGACAACAAAAAGTTACTTGCCCAGCAGGAAAATCTACTTGTCCCAGATGAACGGACAGCACTTTTTTAGAGCCCTTAGTTCTACACTTCTCTATGTATAGAAGTGTAGAATACCGTGACAAACTGGGGATTTTCGTGACCTCTTCCCCATCCTTTCCACTGTTGTCATTCTTTACTTAGTTCTACACTTGCCTATGTGTGAAGTGCTGAATATTGTGACAAATTAGGGATTTTTAGCTATCGACTTTCCCCATCCTTTCCACTGTTGTCATTCTGAACTTGTTTCTACACTTCTCTATGTGTGGAAGTGTAGAATAAGAACATACGATTGTAAATGCCTAGCTGAAGATCAGGTTTAGATCTCATCAAAGGTGATATTGGCTGGGAGGATGAGGAACCATAACAAAATTGGAAAAAAAAATGAGCACCTGCAATACAGGAATTTTATTACTCTGTCCCATATCCAGTACTAAGCTTAGCTTTGGTGATCGATGAGGGGTACTCTCCTTGTGGTAACATCTCAATCAAAGATGACTTCATGAATGCTTTCCTCGGTCTCACATCTCCCTTAGTGCGCTCAACCGTTTAGTTTTGCACTATTTCTTAACAATGTCAGTGGACTCTTACAGGCGTATCAAAATTGTCACTGTTTAGAGGCAAGCCATTTTCCAAATTGAGTGGCTCATAGGCACTTTGATCCTATCAAACTACATCTTGATCTAAACATATTGCTGCTTCAACCTTACATTGGTGTAATGATTGAAGTTCTTTTTGAGACTATCATATTGTTTTAATTCTAGATCCATATTATATCATTGTGGTATATTTTATTGTCTAGCTCATCTAACATTACTTTAACCTGTCTTTTACACACTGCTTTGCTTCAATCCACAAAAGTAGCCACCGTCCTTGAGCCTAGTGGCTTGTTTACCCTAAAGCATTAAATTCAGATTTCTGGAGCATTAGGCAACTACATTGTAGGCTAGAATAGTATTACTTTGCCTGAAGGTGTATTGCTTCCGGCCTCCATTAGTCTATCACAGCTTACTCTCCAGCATTCCACCAGGTTTTCTCAACACCAATTTTCCATTATATTCCTTTATTATCCAACTGCAGTGAATACCGTCCAAATAACAGTACAAATATACAGCGATATTTTACAGTTATTTGTACAGTAGAACACCTGTTTGCTGTACAGGTCGGCGCGTGCACGCAAAGCTGTCACACTCACCCTCTTTTCATTGATAAATTTATTGACTATAGCAGTTGGATGATAAATCTCTTAATATAAGATGTTTTGGTGTGCAGTATTGCTTGATATTTCTACTCGTTTGTATTTTGACTTGCCCCACGGGCTAGTCAAAATCCCGGGGGAGGTACTTTGGGAATTTCTGGGTGGGGATGTGCCGCTTGGACCCTGGAACCCTTAGCCTAT